TGAGCCTCATGTGTCCTGTTTACCCAATGTAGGTGCACTGGCTATAGCTTTGGACTGCTTGGCACACCCCCTTTATTGTGGTAACAGACCCACCCACTCCCCTCTGAGGAGGGATATGTGAATCAGCTGGCTCAATCACAGCACATGGCAATGGTAATTGGCTCAGGGATATGCCTGTGATTGGAGATGAACCAACTGGAGCCTTACCTGAAATTTTTTCATCTGGAATAGGTGGGAAAGGATTCTTTCCTCTCTAGTTTTAAGGCAATAAGAGGCAGTAAGAATAAAAACCAGAGGTTGCCTGCTCTCTGTTCCCTGGTGCCTGGAGAAAGCCTACCTTCAGGATAAGAAAGAGACTAGCACCCAGGAGGATAAAGAAAGGCATCGTTTGGCCAGGCATGGTAGCTCACACCTATAATCCTAGCACTTTGAGAGGCCAAGGCAGGAGGATTGCTTGAAGCCAGGAATTCAGGACCAGCCTGGGCAACATAGTGAGACCTCATCTCTACAGTCTCCTGGGGCTTGGGTGATCCTTCTACCTCAGACTCTCAAGTAGCTGGAACTACAGGCGAGAGCCACCATGCCTGGCTAATTTTTTAAAATTGATTATAGAGACAAGGTCTCGCCAAGTTGCCCAGGCTGGTCTCGAACTCCTGGGCTCAGGCAATTCTCTCACCTCTGCCTCCCAAAGTGATGGGATTACAGGTGTGAGCCACTGCGCCCAGCATGTTACTCTTCTTAATAACATTCTTCAGCTTCCTATTTCCTACCTCTTCAAATTTAAAGTCTCTCGCTAGGCACTATGGCTCACACCTGTAATCCCAGAACTTTGAAAGTCTGAGGTGGGAGGCTTGCTTGAACCCAGGAGTTCAAGATCAGCCTGGTCAACATAGTGAGATCTCATCTCTACAAAAAATAAAAAAATCAGCCAGGCATGTTGGTGTACACCTGTAGTCCCAGCTACTTGGGAGTCTGAGGCAGGGGGAACACCTGAGTCCAGGAGATTGAGGCTGCCACTGCATTCCAGCCTGGGTGACAGAGTGAAGCCCAGACTCAAAAAATTTTTTTAAATATCTCTGATTGGTCTTCAAAAGATCCCACACTCTACCTCCAAATAATAATAATAATACCATTAATAGTAGTAATCGTAGAAACAGCCACCATTTGTGACATTCTTATTGTGAGGCAGAAACTGTGCTAAACACTTTGTAGGCATTCATTCATTAAAGCCTCACAGCCAGGGGTGAAATCCAACATCCAGGATGGATCCAGCACAGGCATCAAGCCATCAGGGCAGATGCTGGCTGCCATGCTGGACCAGCATACCAGTTGAATCCAGCTCTGTTCATAGACAGCCTGAAGGTGGGCATTACAGTTCCCAATTTACTCATGTGTGTACTGAGACCCAGAAGAGTGAAGGGCCTCGCCCAGGGTCACGCAGCTGATAAGCATCAGCCCTCAAACCACAGCCTCTGACTCCAGAGCCTCTACTCCATGCCGTTGGGCCTTTCTAAATCCCCACTGCACAACCCTTTCCCTGGTGACATCTGGCCTTTCCCTGTAGTTGAACTAGGCCATGTCCCCCCTCATATCCTTCATGCACTCCTTCCATAGTCATTGGTTGGGGCTCCCACCTTGAGCCACACATGGCTTGTTCAAGAAGAGACCTCCATGGGGTCAGGGACTATGTCATTTTTGCTCCCAGGACCAAGCACAGAGTTGGTACTCAGCAAATCTCTGTTGCAGTTGACTAAGTCATGAGCTCTGCTCAAAAGAGTTCCTGGGGATCACTTATGAGTGACAGTGTGCCTTCTTTATTGTGGATTAAAAAAAAAAAAGACCAAGCCAGGCTCGGTGGTTCAGCCTGTAATCCCGTGCCTTGGGAGGCTGAGGTGAATGAATTGCCTGAGCCCGTGAGTTCGAGACCCACCTGGGCAACTTAGTGAGACCTCATCTCTACAATAAATCAAAAAAATTAGCCAGGCATGGTAGCGCATGCCTGTAATTCCAGCTACTTGGAAGGATGAGGCAGAAGGATCGCCAGAGCCCCAGCAGGTCGAGTCTGCGGTGGCCAGGAGCGGCCAGTGCACTCCAGTCTGGGTGACAGAGTGAGATTCCAACTCAAAAAAAAAAGGTTCGAGACCCCTGGGCAGCAAGACCTCATCTCTACAATAAAATCACAAAAATCAGCCGGGCATGGTAGCGCTCACCTGTAATTCTGGCTACTCGGAAGGCTGAAGCGGAAGGATCACGGAGCCCAGCAGGTTGAGGCTGCGATAGCCGGGAGTGGCCACTGTACTCCAGCCTGAGTGACAGAGTGAGACTCCAACTCAAAAAAAAAAAAAAAAAAGACCAGAGCATTCGACACTTGGCACCACTGGCTCTGGAGGTGTGATGAGGATGTCTAGCCTCCTGTTAGATACAACAGGACATCCCAGTCCCAGTGCTGGAAAACACGGATGGAAGCCACACTGGTCCCCCCGTCCAGGAAATACTGTGGCCTGACAAGCTGGACCCCAATCACCACCACCAGCACCTCCAATGCTTTCCCCTCTCCCTCTCCAAATGTTCTAATCTTCAAGGCTCAACTCGTTCCTTCATCCAATCAGTCAGTGAACAGCTACTGAGTGCCATCTCTGGGCCAGGCAGGTGCTAGGTAGCTGCAGGAGAAAGCCAATGGCACAAAGATTCAAGACACAGTCCCTGCCCTCTGCACCACAAAGTCCCATGAAGGAGGCAGGTATGGAAATGATGGCGGTGACATCACCATGGGATAAGTGCTGGCGGGGGCGGGGGGTGGGGGATCAGTGTAGGTGCTGGGAGACCGTAGAGCGGTCCTTTTCTGAACCATCTGGAGGACATGTGGAGCTAAAAGAATCAGTGCCTGATTCCACATCAAGGCTCCACCAGGACAGACCTGACTTTCAACATGATACCTGGAGATCCTTTACTCCCCACCGCGCAGCTGCCTTTGGGTCAGGGAACTCCGGATTTCCACCCCAGCTCTGTGATATCGGGCACTTAGCCTCTCTGGGCCTCAGTTTCTCCCTCTGTCTTGCAGCGTTGTGAGGATTAAATGGATAGCATCAGTCACCTTCCTTTCACAAACCAGCACTCCGTCAAGGTGACTTTTCCTGCTTCAGAGGTGTTTAAGACCCAGATGATTCATGAAACCCAATGACCTCAACAGACTAGGATGTTCAAAGGGCACTGTGGACTCTTCCTGCCACCTCTACGCCATGTCCCCCACTGTCCTGAGGGAGAAGTCCTCTAAGCTTGGCAGAAACAAGTTTGAATTTTTGTTCAAGTGAGGTTTTCTACAAAACTAAGAAACCAAGGAGCAAATGAGTGTGGACTCAGGTTCCCTTTCCGCCCTGCCCCCAGGGTGCAAAGTGGTAAAACCCAGGATGCAAATCCATTTTCTTTTACCTCTAACCCAATGTCTATTTTTCCAGCAAAAAAATAAGAGGGCTCTGAGTAGATCATCTCAGGGGTTCTAAACCCAGCCAGCTTCTCTCCTCCAAGGCCTTCAGCAAGTTCCCCCCACCCCAACACCACCTGACTTCCCCACTTTTTTGTCCTGGCCATCCCCGAGCACAGTGGTAGAGACAGGAGAGCAGGGCTTTGGGGATCGCGGTCCTGGGTGTCACCAACAGTGCCCTGTGTGACCTTGGGCAAGTCATGTCACCTCTCGAGGTCTCAGTTTCTTTTCTTCTTTTTTTTTTTTTGAGTTGGAGTCTCACTCGGTTGCCCAGACTGGAGTGCAGTGGCCGCTCCCGGCCACCATAGCCTCGACCTGCTGGGCTCCGGCGATCCTTCCGCCTCAGTCTTCTGAGTAGCTGGAACTATAGGCACGCGCTACCATGCCCGGCTAATTTTTTGATTTATTATGGAGATGAGGTCTCGCCAAGTTGCCCAGGCGGGTCTCGAACCCGCGGGCTCAGGCAATTCACTCACCTCAGACTCCCAAGGCGCGGGATTACAGGCTGAGCCACCGAGCCCGG